TCCTTTTAATGGCTGAGTACTATTCCATTGTATAAAAATACCACATCTTTTTCGTCCACTCTGTGGTTAATGGGGATTTTGGTTGTTTCCAAGATTTAGCTCTTACAAATTGTGCTGCTATAAATATGGGTGCACATATATCACTGTGACTTGACCTTTTCAGTTTTTCTGGGAAAACACCCAGGAGGGGAATAGCTGGATTGAATGGAACTTCCAATTCTAGTTTGTTGAGAATCTCCATACTGATTTCCGTAGTGGCTGCACAGTCCACACTCCCACCAACAGTGGAGCAGTGTTCCTTTCCCCCCACAGCTTCGCCAATACTTGTTATCAGTTGATTTCTTGATGGCAGCCATTCTTTCCAGAGTAAGATGAAATCTCAATGCTGTTTTAATTTGCATTTCCCAAATGACCAGGGATGGAGAACATTTCTTCATGTATTTATTTGCCATCTGTATATCTTCGTCTGAGAAGTCTGTGTTCATTTCACGTGCCCATTTTTGGAGAGGGTCTGTGGGAAGCTTGATGTTTTTCAATTCTTTATGTACTCTGAATATAAGTCCTTTGTCTGAGGGACTGCTGGCCAAAATTCTTTCCCATTCTGTGGGTCTTCTTTTCACTTGGTTGATGATTTCTTTTGAAGTGCAAAAACTTTTTAGTAAGATGAGATCCCAGTTGTTGATCCTTTGAAGTGTTTCCTATGCGGTTTGTGTATGCTCATGAATTCTCTGCCTAAACCTATGTCTCCAAGATTTTTACCTACCTTGTCTTGCAGTAGATTTAATGTTGCTGTTTTAATATTTAGATCTTCGATGCATTTTGTGTAATATATTTTTATTTTTTTAATTCAATTTTATTTTTGGTATGAGGGATCAAACTCATGACTTTGTGCTTGGCAAGCAGGCGCTTACAACACTGAGCTAAATCCCCAGCCTATGTTTTTATTTTAAAAGTAATGTAACCACATTCAAAAAATAAGTGGGAAAGAATAGATCACCTGCATCCCATTCACTATCTTGCCAATTTGAGCAAATTCATCTAGTTTTTAGTTAGATATAATTATAGTGGCTCTAAAACATTGTCTTCTACTTTTTCAACTTATAAACAAAATAACATTCTAGTATGTAATGAAAACAGACCAGAACTTCCATTTCCATTTGAATTGATTACTTAGTTTTATTTCTGTTCTTTGGTTTTGGAAAATGATCAAGATAAACTTGTACCAAGTATCCAGAGGAGAGGGTGGCCCAAAGATGGATGTGTAAGCAGTTTATTCTGTAAGGAGAGGAACGTGCATTGTACAGAGGAGGCCTGAAGTGGGGGAAGACAGTAGTTGTACCCTGAGGTGGTGGTTCACTAATGAGGTGAAAATGGAGCTGAAAGTTAGGTGGATAGGACTTCAGAGGGCAGGGAGGGATTCCTGTGAAATGTGAAGTGTGCAAGATGATGGGGCTGTGCGCGGCAGGTGAAATCCAGGAGCCCGGGGGATCTGTTAACCTGTGCGGCTGGTAGCAGTGTAGCAGCTAGACGCCAAAGGCCTGGATTGCTGTGTGAGAGAGTTAGAATAGATCTCTTAAAGCCATTGGTTAATTTTGAGCAGGAGAATTGTTGTGTTTCATTGTCTTGTAAAGAATTCCTTCTGATGGAGTTGTGGAGGAGAGAGTGTCTGAGAAAGACTGGAGTCTGAAAGGGAGGGATGTATTAGGAAGATACAGACGGTATCAACAGAAATCTGCAACAGATTCTTGGTTGCGTGGTAAGTCGGTATCTTTACTATGTAAATTATAAGACTCTCAGATGATGTCCCAGTGACTTTTTCAGGTCTGAAACATTTCTCCTTGTTAGCATCAGGGACAAGGTTCAGGGCTGCCATGTGTCATTATACTCTGTGCAGCGGTGCTTGGCCCAATTTTATCTGCTAAACTGTGAACCCCAGCATGCACTGCAGTTATCCAGAAGAGATCCTGTTTTCTAAATCGCACAAGGCAGCCCAAAAGTAACCGAAGGAAGTTATTACCCTTTTTTCAGGATAGGTCTTGTAATAAGTAATAAGACCAAGTATCAAGAGGCAGAGCCCATCTAAGTCCCCATTCATGTCCACTAAAGGCAGTGGTAATAGCTGGTAATATAGCTACTGTGTGCTCTGTTTCTCAGCCCTTCCAAAAGGGTGATGTTAACTACTAGTTTGAAAAGGCCAGGACCCTCAAGAATAGCTTAAGCTCAGTCCTGTGGGCACAGAGGCTGCCCTGCTCTTGAGAGATGCCACATCTAATCATAACCTTGTTATGTCACTGTGGCTAATTCATTGGTCAGGCATATTTAGTACCCTACATCATATGCAAGAAGCATAGTTCTGAGACACAGAGAAACTTAGAATTTTTGCAATATTCTGTTTTTGTCCCTCATGGTTAAGGTGTATTATTTTGATTTTGGGAAAGGCACTTACAAATTTTTTAAAAATTTAACATTTTATTAAAGGTAGGAAAAAAAACAGGCTCTGCAGGTTGAGTTTGGGCTGAGTAAAAATGGGAAAAGGGGAGAAAAAATGTTAAAACACTACCCTGCAGCGTAGGGTGAGGTTCCATGAAGACACACGCTAGCCACTTGCAAATCTTGATGGATTTGTGCACTAACAGTTTGAGCAATAGTCACCTTGGTGAGTCCTCAAGTATTTGATACAATGAGTAGTAATTGTTTCCATGTGTACACATTTTTGAGCTTCAATACTAAAATTGAGATTTGGCCACTGGTGTAGAATGGCTCTTCATTGAGTTTTCTGCCGTAATTACTGTTACAAAGAGATGTCTTTTTGTCTGATTCTTGATCCAAATGATTTCTTAATTTTAATTTTGTTTCCTTGGGAGGTTAGGTCAATGACAGCCTGTGGACCAAATCAGGACTGTGAGTGGAGACAGGTTGCTATGTTTAAATAGTTGGAAATATAGTCAAAGGACAATTTTGTATTCCATCAAATCTGATTTCAGTGTCGTAACTAACCTTTGGTTGGAACCCAGCGCACTGATGTGTGTATTGCCCATGTACTCTCCTTTTTTGTTGTTGTCATTTTAAAAATAGTTTTCTTTTAGAGTTAATATGTGCATTACGGGGAGCAAAAACTCAAGAAGTGACAAAGTCCTTCACAGTCGTAACTGCCGTGTGGGTCTCCTGCTTCAGCTGCAAGATTAAGTTGCAATTGAGACTGTTTGTCCTGCCTGAAATACTTCCTCACCAAGTCTTTAGAGAAAACTGCTGATGTCTACTATAGAGAAATAATCTAAACATAAAAGCTTGGTGTATTTGAAATTTATCGAATGCTGTCTTTTAGAAGAAATTCAACTTTATTGAGATACACTTGACATACAGCTGACTGGACATGTTCACTGTTAATGTTACCAAGATAACGATGCCTGCATTGCCCTCAGAGTTCCTGTACCTCTTTGAAATTCCTTAATGGTGCCCACACTGTGCCCAGTAGCCACTTTCTGACACTATAGATTTGTTTTTATTTTTCAGAGCTTTTAAAAAATGGGATCTTAGGATGTGTATACGCCTGTGCTATTTGGCTAATTTGACATACCAGAGTTATTTTGTGGTTTATTTATGTTGTGGTATGAACAGTTCTTTCCTGAATAGGATATGTTAGACTTGTTTATTCATTTACCTTTTTTGGGGGGCAGTATTAGGGATTGAACTCAGGGTCTCACCCATGCTACATAAGTGCCCTAACACTGAGTTACCCTCCCAGCCCTTTTCAGTTTTATTTTTCAGACAGGATCTTAGTAAATTACCCAGGCTGGAGTTGGACTTGCAGTCATCTAGTTTGATCTCTGAGTCACTACAATTACAGGCATTTACCTGTACCTTTATACGGTGTATTTGTATCTTTCTGTGTGTCTGATAATTGCTAGTAAATCTTTTATGAACTTTTGCATATATTCTTTGCACAGACATAAACTTTTTTGTTTTGTGGTTAACGCTTAGTAAAATCATTTGATGATAAGACAGGTGTCTCAATACCTTTTTAAGACGTTGTCAGACGGTTTCAAAGTGCCTGTATCATTTAACAGTTCCACCTTCAGTGGTGGGAGTACTGCAAATATTTGTTATTATCCAACAGTGTGTGGATAACGTACAGGAAGAGTTTGTAAAACTTTGATTAATTTAGGTTGTAGACTGCAGAAAATTTGATTTTAACAATCAGTTTTGAGATCGACATTATCTCGACATGGAATTATTACTACAGTCTTCTCCATCAATGTGGTTTAAGACTCTGACTGCACAATGGGCAGTGTGTGTCACCTTGTAGTTTTAAGTGTTTGTAAAGTAGGCGACTCCAGCTGCTACACCATTTTGGGGTCAGGGTCCTCTGAGATATTGCCCCTCTAGCATGCATACAAATCAAAGGATAGATTGTCAAGAACACAGATTTGAGGGCACCATTTCTAGGATTCTAAGCCAGAGGTCTGGGCCAGGACCCAGGAATCTGCATTTTAAGAGGCACTGGAGCTGGCTCCATCACATACATTTGTGATATCTAAGGATTGTGATTTGGGTTCACTTGTTTGCTGTGTAGTGACATTATGCATTACTCAAGTGTTAGATACTAGATTTCAAATACATTCTTTGGTTAGTAGCCTAGTCAGACAAGGCTCCTCATTCATCATGCGTTTTCATTTTTTGTATTTTTGGATAGTTTATACATTATAATTAGCTTGACCATTTCAGGATCATTTCAACCATTTCGAATCCTCTACTTCATGTCCATTTCCTGCTCCTGTCCCAAGGTAGATTATTTTTCTTCGGTAAACCAGAATCTAGAACCTAGGATAGAGTTTATGGGAGTAAATCGATGTTTTTTTTTATGGCTTAAAGCTGAGTTTATTCATTTGAATACTACAGTCACTATCATACAGAAAGCTAGAATGTTTGTTTCTGTAAAATATACAGTGGAATTTAAGTAAAATAATATTTTTCTCTTTTTAAAAATATACTCTGTTTAGAACTATTTTGGCGGAAAACTCTCTGCTCAAGGGAAAATGCCTTGGATTGAATATAATCATGAAAAAGTTTCTGGCACAGAATTCATAATTGACTTTCTGGAAGAGAAGCTTGGAGTGAATTTAAACAAAAACCTCGGCCCACATGAAAGAGCTGTGTCTCGAGCGGTGACCAAGATGGTGGAGGAGCATTTCTACTGGTGAGTTCCCCTCTAGGACTCTCCCCATCCTTTTGGAGTTAACCCAGGTTTTGTGGCATCTTTCAGATGCTCCTCCCACCTTTTCAAAAGTTCTCTGTTAACAGTTTGACTGACTTTGGTAACAATTCTGGGTGTCTAGACCAGTGGTCAACACACATTTCATCTTAGGGGGCCAGCTAGTAAATATTTTGGCTTTGTAGGCCATGTGTCTCTGATGCAAAGCTCATCTCTGCTATTTTATCACAAGGCAACCGTAGAGAATATGCCAGGGAATGTGCCTCATTGTGTTCTATAAAACTTTATTATGGACACTGAAATTTGAATTTTACTTAATACAGCATATAATTCTTTTGATTTTTTTTTCTAACTATAAATATACAAAAAAAATGCAAAAGAAAAATGCAAAAACCCCCAAAAATCTAGCCTGTGCACAGCAGCTTGCTGGCCTTTGATCCAGGCTGGAACCATCCTCAAGGAGAATATTTCAGTTGGTTGGGCTCAGGGCTCTTCACCAACACACAGTGCTGAACTAGGGTGCTATCACATCAGATACCCAGAGTGAGGGAAGGAAGACTAAGGCAAAGAGGGATTCCCAGGCGAAGTAAATTGCACAGCCTGTGTGAGACTGCTGCCCGTTTTCCTAGGCAGGCAGAGATTTTGTGTCCCAGAAGTAAAGCACATGGTCTGTAGTCTCCTTGCCCACATTGCCTGATTCCCAGTTGTGTTCCCCGAGTGAAGCATCACACAAGCTGTGCGGTTGTGTTTGTTTCTCCTGATGTGTTGTAGCCTAACAACCCTAGGGTTAGAGTTGGCTGCAGCACTGCCTGAATTAAGCAGATCTGATTCTTCGTACTTTGCAAGTGCGTTTGTCGTGTGGGCTTTTTGCTCATTTGTTCATTCATTTTCTGGCATTTTTGCCTTTTTCACTGTATTCAAATAGATGAGAGAAAGTTTCGCCTGATTTCTAGAAACCTTCTCTTGTCCCAAAGGTTTAACAAAGAATTGCCAGGCCCACTCTTGTGGCTCTGCTAGTCCTGGGCCAGACGCTGGCCTGCAGTTTCCCTGAGTGCCTCCCCCGCTGAGGGACCCCCTTCCACGAGGCTGACTGTGGTGTGCTCCTCATGGCTGCCTGTCTCACCCATGCTGTTCTCTTTCTAAATGCAGAACTTGCCTTTCTCGTCTCTGAGATTTGAAGCGACCCACTATTTTCCTTTTCCTCCTCCTACTTTTGCTTTTTCCGCAGTTTATTCTGGACTGGCTGAGCTCCATTTCCTCTGTCCCCTCAACATGGCAGTGAGGGAGTGGTGAGCAGAGCCGGGGCTAGGGGAGAGGAAGGAGGCAGCGGTACAGAGTCACCCTGAGGGATCCGGAAGGAGCCTGGTCTGGGCTCTCAGAGTTCAGGAGTCACAGGAGGGTCCACAGTGTATGGCTTGCTTGGCTTCTGGGCTATGGCCCATTTCACTAGTTGGCTCCAAACCCAGCTCCGCAGTGATGGAGGGAAAGGAGGAAGCACACAGGAATGCCTTGGGCCTGCCAAAGCGATACCTTACTTGGGAGCTTGGCTCCTTGATGTGGACAGCTGTATTACAATCCACTGCCGGAAAGGCTGAAGACCCTACATTGGCTGTAACATTACATTTCTAGAGTGGCATAGGGAATCCATATTTTGGTGAGAAGGCTTTTGATTCAGCAAAGTTTCCAATTCCTACGTGTCACTGCCTTTTGCTCTTGGGTGTGCACTGTTTTATATAGCGCTAGTGTCTGGTAAAAGTTCATGACTGCCCTCCACTCTCCATCTCTTTCTCTACCAGCCTCCAGCCAGTGCGGGGTGGCAGGCAGGCTGTGAATGGGTGTGAGGGGAAGACGAGTCGACAGCTGGTGTCACAGAGGGAGGGATCTAACTGTATGGACCAAAATCCTTCAAATGCTTGGAGATTTGCTTGGCTTATGTGTAGGCTCTTCTGAGAATAATTTTATTGCTCTAAGTCACTTTTTAATTAAAAATTTTTTGTGTGTGTGCGCTCTTCTTTCTTATTTATGCTCAAAAATTTAATCTTCAGTAGCAGAAGAAAAAACAAATCTATTTCTTCAAGGCCTTAGCCAAGGGCAGCACTTTGGGTGGAGAGTCTCCCACACTGTTCCCTCAGTCCTGTGTCCTCCGTCCTGCCTTCTGGTCCCGGAGACCTCGAACAATTCCTGCACCTGAGGGGGTGTGAGCCTAGCGTAAGATCTGTTGTCAATGTGGGGAGAATATAAAGAGCATGAGATTTCCATGAGATCTTCTTAAATTCTGACAATCATTGTGACACTAAGTTGTGGTTCTTCTCATATAGATGGGAGAGGAAATTCAGTAAACTCACGGTTTAATGCAATGACTTAATGGAATGAGAAGTTAGATGTTTTATTTTGACCCAAAAACTCAAAAGTGTTCCACTTCAGGTATAATTTTCTGAAGAACAAAGGCTATAGACATCTGTCATTATTATGTCACATATAGTTTTGAAGCCCTGTTTCAGGACTGTTCAAACAAGTGCAGTCAGCTGTAAAATCGATGATTTTTCTTGCATTCAGAATCTGTGCAATTATGTCTCAATTGCATTATAAAAACTTTTCCTGATGATGCACAAGACATCTTTTTCTTATTCTCTTTGTTCCTCTGCCTGTTTAAGTTAGGTCCAAGGCCGGGGAGCTAGTGTGAAGAAACGCTTGGGAGACAAGGTGTTAAACTAATGAAATGAAACTGAATTTTGATAACACATTGTAATTTTTATGTGACACACTGCCCCCGTGAGGACATCAGTGAGTTCTTTAAAATTTCTTCCAATCCACAGAGAGGTGTACAGGAGGACGTCACTGTCAGATTGCTTTAGTCACCTATAAAAATATAGGCATTCAGATTTGCTTCTAGGTTGGCCATAATTTAAAACATTTGAATTTGGCTTTTTAAATTTCTTCTTGATGCTGGGAATCAAACTAAGTGCCTTTTGCATGCTAAAGCAAGGGCTCTACCTCAGAGAGACATCCCTAGCCTGAGCTTGGCTTTTGATGTGGTTTCAGTGACTGAGAGAGATAGGATGCTTTCATAAAATAATCTTACAAGAAGGTCTGTTCTGAAAGCCAGGACACATTCCTTCTTACAACTGGATCCGTGTATTTCCTTTTCACTCTTGTACTCTGTCCAGTTTTAGCTGTAGGAAGGGTTAATCTAATGCTTGTGAAATTGCAGAAGCATCGCATCGACTTCTGCACCCCTGGCAAGTGTTCAGAGTAGACACAAAAGACGGCATGGATGTAGCCCCATACCAAGGAAGGCATTCTCCTGACCTTGAATGGCCGTGTTCTGAGACTCAGAATGCCATGCCTTGCAATTTCCTGCATATTAATATTTGCTTCTGCTATAGGTCTTACGTCAAGTTCGGTTATAATGAGACACATCTTCATTAAACGTCAGAGGTCAGCATTTTTTTTTACTGTTTTCTTGATCTCCTTTAAAAATTTTCAAGCATGTTATATTCTTCTAAGATAATGGTCTAAACACTCTTTGACCCTATTTTTGCAGGAGAAATTAGATATATTAGTTGTGATAAAGAAATGTGATCTCAACTTCCTGAAATACTCATAAATGATAAATTACTATAATTGCTCAGCCCAGTCTGATTTCCAAATTGGCCCTCTCTGTCCTCTCTAGTTAATAAGTCATGCTTTCCTGTGAGTGGGCTTCCCAGTGAAGAGGGAGGAGCCGGAAGAGCAGAAGCCCCTTTATGCTCCATAGCCACATCTCTCTTTTCATTTTCTACTTAACTTTGTGCCATCCCTTAGAAATACTGCTTAGCTGTAGTTGGTGCAGAGTGCAGCGTTTCTTCGTTTGATCAGCACTTCACTCCTCAGCAAGCTGAGTGAATGATCGCCAGGGCCAGGCACCGTGTCCCTATCCTCCAGTGGCCCAGAGGCTGGGAGAGACAGCAGGCCTTTGGAGTCTTGTTGGAGACAGAAGTTAATATCACGACAGAGTCGAGGGACAGCTGGCGTGGACAGCAGTCAGGGAGGGTCAGGATGTCCAAGCAGAGGGCAAGAAGGAAGTTCTTGGGGAAGCATCTTAGCCTACTCAGGTTGTCATGACAGAGTGCCACAGCACAGAGATGATTTCTCAGGTGTGATGATGAGAAGTCAAGGTCAAGGTGGTGGCAGATTTGGTGTCTAGTGAGGCTTTGCTTCCTGGCTCACAGATAACATCTTGCTGAAATCTCACATGGCAGAAGAGGTGAGGGAGGTCTCTGGGCTCTCTCTTTCTCACTCTCTCTGATGTTAGTAGGGTGGTACTAGGAATTGAGCCCAAGGCCTGGGGCATGTCAGTAAGATTTCTCCCACTGAGCTATACATTCTCTCTCTCTAAAAGTTTGAGACAGGGTCTTGCTAAGTTGCCCAGGGTGGCCTTTGGCTTGTGATCATAAAAGCTGGGATACTGATATGCACCAATATACCTGGTTTAGGATCTCTTTTAAGGGAGTGTTAATCCTATTCATATTCATGAAGGGTGTGGTCCTGTGACCTAATCATCTTCCAAAGGCCCCACTTCCTGATACCATCATATTGGAGATTAGGTTTCAACAGGAATTTTGAGGGGCATAATATCCAATATCCAGCATGGAGGTGTGTGTGAATCTGTATGGCCGGTGTGTAAGGTGCACAGGAGGAGGTGCAGGAGATGAGGTCCGAGGAGGGTGGACCGCAGAGGGGTTAGGCCGTGGGAACAGAGGAGAACATCTCCTAGGATTTGTGAGGAAGCTTTGGAATTCTGGCTTGGTTGCCAGAGAAGTAGGTTTGAAGGAAGCCAAAAAAGGTCAGTTTTGGAAATGTTGGTTTGCATTTCCTGAGGTTGATCCACATGGAATCCATGGATCTCAGGAGAGCAGTCTGGGCTGAATGTGCATCTAAGTCAGTTTGACATCTTAGATGTAAATCTGATTACCCCATGAGTATAGAATACCTAGGTAGGAAGCTAGAAGAAAAACCAAATAGTTAAAAGCTTGGGAACATGTGAGAGGTGGGAGGAAGAGCAGTGGGCTGTCAGCCAAGAGAAGTTCCAAGAAAGAGGGCAGCAGCTTTAGATGCTGCAGAAAATTCTGGAAAGCTAGATAAAGGACGAAGGCTTATTTGAATACTGCATCATGGAGATGATTGTGACTTGCACAGAGTGATTTTGGTGAAATGAAGGGGTTCAAGGATGGCGTTCTCAGAACTTCTGGTTGTGAGAGGAGGTGTGTACTTAATTCTAATGATTTAGAAACAAGGGTAATGGATGTTTGCTACCTGTCCTAGTTGGGTTAGGAATCTGTGATCCACTCATTTTCTTTGGTATTTACAGTTGATACGTACCCCGCTTGGCTTGATCCCTGAAGAGTTGGCCTGGCCCTGATTTGCCTTGTTACTGGGCTTGATATTGGGATTAGTAAAATAGAGAATAAAGTAATCAGGAGGAGGACAGGAGGGAGGAGAGAGGAAGACCAGGCAGTTTCTGAAGTTCTTTATACCTGCAGAATTCTGGTTGGACCCTGTATTCCTTCTTCTGGGCCCTGCCTACAAGCGGACGGCTGCAGCTAGAGAACCTTACACCTCCAGATGGCTGGACTCTTGTCCTGCAGAGCCCTGTGGCCCGGGAGCAGCTGTGTCTCCCATTGCTACCTGCCACTCCCTGTTACGCCCTCATCTTCTGCACGTGCCCTCATGTGCATTTTTGCTCTGCAGAGGAAATGGAGTCATTAGGTAGGAGCCTCTGTACAGCTTCTCCTGCTTGCAAGCCTTCTTCCTATATCTTGCTAAGCTGCCCCTTTCAGCCTGGCCTTATCTTCTAACTTGGTCTTTTCTGAACACTATTCCTCACCCCAGAAGCCTCCTCAAGTGCTCTTTTCTTACAGTTTAAAAATTGCTACCAGTGCTCCATCTGCAGTCTAAACCCATCTCCCGATTTCTCAACTTTATGCTGTAAGCATCTTCCCTTGGGCCGTGGTGTGTCCATGGACCTTCAGCTGTAACTGATTAACTCATCTATCATTGCCAAGATTTGTTCCTCCTAGTGTAGTACAGTATCAGTCGAGTGGTGTTATGCCTTTGAACCCTCATCAGCCGAGGAGAAAGCGCCGACTTTCTTCTGCACAATCCCTCCAGCCCCTGGTCAGTAGACTCTTGACTCTCCATGTTTCTCTCCTGCCTTCCCCATTCATCCCCTCTGCTGTTGCCTCAGTCAGTGGATTGTTACTGTTTTTTTTTTTTTAACCTGGTCTCAGCATGGTTTTCTAATCAGGCTTCTTATCAGCATTGCCACAAATATGATCTCGTTACTAGACTGCTTAAAACCTAGCAGTATTTACCCTTGGCTTTTGGGTAAAGTTCTGCTCCCTTTCCTCACCTGTCCTGACCTCCTTTCCAGCCTCATCTGGCCCAGGCTTCCTCCTGCATATCCTGGCCCCACTCACACCTCCTGGTTCCTGCAGGTCAGCAAGCGGCTGGTGTTCTTTGTGCACCCATCTTTTCTCCTGCTCTCCTTCGTTGTGCTGAGGATGAAATCTGCATGGCCTACAAGGAATTCAGTTACTCTGCCTTTCAGCCTGTCAGCGTACAACTGTGTTCCTCATTTTTACACTTTAGATGCTTCCGAGATGCTGTTATTTATTGGTTGTACTCGGTATTGAATGATTTAGTTTCATCCTCAGACCATTGACCTCCAAAGTTATCGAAGATTACATAATCTTTTAATTGTGCAGCTAGAATCAGAGTGCTCAATTGTTTTAATGCCATGTGAAAATACAATTAGAATTAGAGTGCTTAATTATTCTAATGCAGTGTGAAAATTGCCACCTTAATTACTGCAGGTATAAAGAAAAACAAGCAAAAAAGCATTTGTTTTCATGTTTATATAGAATTTATCATAATAAATGTGCAATATTTTATATCAGAAGGTCCACTGAATGCTTTTAACTGTGCACACTAATTACCACTGTCATGTACTTTTTTCCTACTTTCAGCGAAATCTATTTCTTGACTCCTTGATATTTTATTTTAAAAACTTACTAAAAAGAGTTACATGAAGATTTCTAACAATATTTGTGGCTGTTCTTTTTAAAAGGTAACATAAATAATCATGGTTTTAGTGCATTGAGTATGTTAAATTGGTTATAGGACTTTGCAGTAAACACCAGGAATGTTTTTAAAAGATTTAGAGACACCCATTTCTTTCTTATTTTCATTAATTAGAGAAGAACTAAAAAAATCACAGTTCTAAAAATCAGAGCTGTGTAAAATGGTCAAAATTGCAGTCTTTTTTTTTTGTTCCTTTGTTTGGTTTTTTGAGTCTCACCATGTAGCCCAGGTTGACCCTCCTGCCTCAGCCTGTGTTCACTTTAAAATCCTGAAGAACACACTGAGGTAGAGCTAATTTTCAGGAGAGCAAGTCATTTACATAATACTTACACTGTATGTAATTTATAATATACACGGAAAAGTATACCTTTTCCCTAGCCCTCTGTCACAAAGGCAAAACAAAGTTTTAAAAAATCTTTTTATATTGAGAAATATAAGATTCATAGAGTACATAAGACAGCATGTAGCTTAATTAGTACAAAGTACAGACCTGTGAAACTGTCCCTATGGAAGTCACTGCCAAACGGTTCCGTGTGTTCCCGTGGGGGATGCACATCCTGAGCAAAAGACTTTACAGGAGGTTTCTTCTTGTTTTATGTAGGTTCCATAAAACAAAGGCTAAGCCTGGCATTGAGGGATGTTTGGAGGAGGAGTTTGAGGGTGGGTGCCAGTAGAGCTTTGGTGGAGTAGAACATATGATATTGTTACCTGGATTGTTTTTTACCGTTTCTCTCATAGGTGCAGAAGTCTAGGCATCACCTGCCACCTGCTTTGATATCTGCCTTGCAGATTGCTCTTTGTTGTAGCTGCAATTATTCTGTTCCTTCAGAATATGTAAATTGTGAATGATTCACTCAAAAGTGGCTCTGTGGAGCTGATACATACCTGATGCACAGCAGTAACATGTTTCCACACAATTCCAGGACGTTAGCTTATTGCCAGTGGGTGGACAATCTCAATGAGACCCGGAAGATGCTCTCTCTTAGTGGTGGTGGTCCCTTCAGTAACCTGCTGAGGTGGGTCGTGTGCCACATAACGAAAGGAATTGTGAAGCGCGAGATGCATGGCCACGGCATTGGCCGCTTCTCAGAGGAAGAGATTTACATGCTGATGGAGAAGGACATGCGGTCTTTAGCAGGGCTTTTGGGTAAGGTGCCATGCCTTCTATTCTGTATTTCCTTATTTTTTGCATGCCTAGTAAAGCACTGATGATTTGCTAACATAAAGTTTATTTTATGTCCACGTCCACATTCGCCCCATTTAACTGAGTCCCCTAATTTTCAGGAGCGTGTGTCTTTCTATTTAATCACTGGCATTAGACTGTTCCTAATGTAGGATGTGGAATGTTCTTCAGCACTGGACTTTGACTATAATGATGCTGGCATTTGGGGATGTTCTGTGAGAAAGGGGTGATTTTGAGCAAGGAAGCTCTTCTAGTTACATCCGGGTCAGGGTCCACCTTGTGAACACATCTGCTCAGGATGTGTGCTTAGGCGGTGCGCCCATTGACAGTGCGGAACGCTTGAGGGATGTGCTGGCCGTGCTGCTTCTGACGTATTCAGGGGTGTGCAACACCTGCTGTTTCTCATCCCTCCCATTTCTGTTTGTATCCTAGCAAGTCTGAGCTCTTGGTTTTGTCCTCATTGCACACAGTGAGCTTCCTTGTGTTTGAGAAGCACCCCAAAGAGAGCCATGTGTGGAGGCAGCCTTGGGTGGACGTGTTCCTGGCCACCTGGCTGGTTCCAGGTGGCTAGAGCTGTAGTTCTGATTCTAAGCTATGACAGTTAATAAGACGCTCACTTGAATTCAGGACCTTTTAAATGTGAAATGAAGTCTTTAAGTGGGGGCAACTAATGTATACAGAGCCAAGACTCTGTGTGATTTGTCCTTGGGGGGATGTTAATTTTGTCTGCAGGTGACTCCCCCGCCCCTCCCGCCTCCTATAGTGGCAGTAATTTTCAGATTCGCCTTTGTCCCTATTCTGTCCCTGTTCTGGAGCATGTTAGCTATCTGTCCTCCATTAGAAAGTGGGGTTTGGAATTCACTCTGTTGAAGCCCACCTGCTGTCCTAGCAACTGGAGGCTGTGCTGGTTGCAACCTGACTGTGGCAGAATGACCTCGTTTGATGGGCCCTTTATTGTCCCTTGCTGCAGCCCCTTCCCTCCAACACCAGCCTGTAGGTGACAAATCCTGGCCACGCATCTGTCTCTTGGCTGGCTTTGCTATTTTTGTTATGGTCTGAAGGGGTTGGGAACCGGCTGGGTTCCTCCAACCTCTCTAGCCTGAAGGGTGGACACTGTCTAGACCTCTTGTTGTTTTGCTGCATGAGACCATGTGAGCCTGCTTGATTTAGAGAGGAGTGGAATCAGCCTCCCTTGCTCATTCCTTTGGAAACTTAACACTGGATTCTTGCCCTCAAATACCTGATCCCCAGCCTGGATCGTTTCCTCCTTAATAATGACATTGTCTGTTTCTGATTCCTCCCTTCCGTGCCAGCTCAGGGTATTTGGGATTCCCAAAAGCAAGGAGCTGAGTTCCCAGCGATATGGCACAGATTATGCCAATAAAGTGCTACGTATCTTTAACAATGTAGCAGTGTTGGTTTCTTAGCCAGAGGGCAGTGATCATCACTTTTCAGGAGTGTTTCTGGATGAGAGAACCAGGGGATAGCAGGAATAACGATGTGGCAGTGTTTCTTCAGCATTTAATGACAGTGCTTTCTCCCCAGTTTTTGGGAGATGGGCGGGAGATGCATCACGGACAGCTGGTCTGAACATATTGCAAGTGCAGGAGCTCCCCTTTATCTGCGGTTTCATTTGCTGCAGTTTCAGATGCCTGTGCTTAACTGAAGTCTGAAAATATTACATGGGAAATCCAAGAAATAAACACACACGCTGTAAACTTTCCTGTTGCTCTGAGTGACATGATGAAATTTCTCACCTTCCTGCTCCATCCAGCCCGTGGCATGAACCGTCTCTTTGCCCAGCACATCCCTGCTGCACCAGAGCTGCCTATTAGTCATGGCTGCCAGATCCCTGCGAAGGGTATTACAGCGCTTGCATTCAGTTACTCCTTATTTTGCTGAATTAGGCCCCAAAGAGTAGTGCAATCTGGGTGTGCCAAAGAGAAGCTGTACTGTGTTTCCTTTAAGTAGAAGGGTGCAAGTGTTCAGCTTAATATGGAAAGAAAAATTCCCATGCTGAAGTTGCTAAGATCTGTTGTTAATGTCTGAATATGTCTAATTTACAAATTAAACTCTATCATTGATATATATGCATATCAATGTATGTATACCAATGAAAAATATAGCATATGCAGGGTTTGGTTCTGTCCCTGGCTTCTGGTATCCACTAGGAGTTTTGGAGCATATTCATTGAGGTGTAAGGGGAGATCGCTGTATCATAGAGTACGAAGACCAAATGAAATACTTCATGTAAAATGCTTACTACAAAGTTTGAAACATAAACCTGAATAAATGTTAGATATTACTGTGGTCACTTTCTCAGCTTTTGTGTATGAACTTCATTAGGAATATTATTATTTGATAAAATGTATTTGTGACAAAATTTTTTGATTTTTAGATTTATTAGTTAACAGAAGATTGTAAAGGTTCTTTCTGAAGTAGTTGGAGAAGGGGAATAAATCAATGTAATTTTACAGACTGTTTCTGACTAGTTACCATTCTGCATAACTTTCTAATATTTTATGCATAATTTTGAATCATGTTTGTATACTTATAACATACATTTTCCCACATTTTATTTTTTCTGTTGTTAAATATTTTGTCCTAAGTTACTACTTGCTGGTATCATACTTGGTGCCAGGAAAACTAACACAAGGCAAATCCCCATTTTGCCTTTTTTAATATTTGTTCTCTTAGTAACACTAAGTTTCAGGTATAGATTCAAAGCAGATAGAAAATAAAATAGAATGAAAAAAATTGTACAGCTGTGTCCATTTTTGGGTGAGGGAAAGATCAGATGTGACAATTTGATACTGGATTAAAATATAACTAGAAGATGGAATTCAAGGCAAAGTCAGACAGCATCACCCATGTTTGACAGATAAGGAAACCGAGGGGCGAAATGGTGGGATGATTTGCCAATGGTTATGCAACCAGTAAGAAGTGAAACCAGAAATCAAATCCCGGTTGTCAGACTCAAGGCCCCGATTATTTTCTGCCCCGGCTCTTCCCCTGAAGTTCCATACAAATTGTGCTTGAAAGTGAAGTAATCGTATTATGTCAGGATAACTTCTTTAGAACATTTCTTAAAGTTATCAGAGCTTTAACTGGCAAGTTCAAATGTGATGTGCAATGTAATTTTTAAAGGCATTGCATATGATGGCCTCTCGAAGCTGAACACAGACTTGACTATGGAGTGTTACCATTAATGTAGATTTCCTGAGGTGTGTCAGTTGAAATTGTGCCCTTTCTTAGGACACTTACACTCTAGCCTTCAGCTGAAGTGCACAAGTATTAAGAGAAAGGATCTCTGAAGGGCCTGCTCCTGGAGAGGGCCAGGTGATACTTGGGATTTATAAGTGAAAGCAATCTGATTTCCAGCCAGCTTCTCTTGGCTAATTAAAAATTTAGTGTGCTTTTTCTTTTGGCTGGTCTGAAGTGTCAGATTGAGTCAGAAAATAGCTCAGGTGTCTTTGTTTTTCAGAGTTCTTGTTGACTTGGTGTCAGCACATTTTAGACTCAAACCTGTTGGCTATTTTAATAAACATCAGTTTATTGACTACTTAGTAAAGGGTTGCAAAGTAACACTTTCTTTAGAGGCAGTAAAGCCAGTCCTTTCCTGCTTTATGTCACCTTCTGAAGCAGGTGTGTTTACAGCAGGGTATGGTTTGTCAAAATGATCGTGTTTTGATTTAGAAAATGACTACTTTTGTTTTCAGTGACACAGATATTTGGCTGATCACAGCTCAGTGTTAAATCATAGATTAAAATATTCTCAGAGAATATTTTGCGACTAGTAATAGAAAATTTTTAGCCCACGTTTCACCAGAAATATCTTGGGGTTCCAAACCGTCAGACTGAGAAGACTCGCTGTGAAACAAAGTACTGATGCTGTTCAAGAAACATCAGGGAAACTCACAGAAGGGGAAAAGATAAAAGAATAAGGTGCACGTGTGCTTGGAAATCTAGGCAGAATCTTGGAAAGGCTAATGCTGTGTTGCAAACCCTTTTGTTTGTCTTGCATGCCAAGAGAATAGAGAGCTGCTTTCCATGAGCTCAGAGTCCAAAGCAGGTGAGGTTCTTGTAGGCCATGGCCTGAGGGACGGGACGCACTGAGTGGCAGCAGCAGCAGGAGAGCTGCTCTCTTCGCCAAATGTGCCAACCACTTTTCATAGTTTGTACACCTTGTCGTATGGTGCTCAGATTTCTCCAGGTAAAATACAAGGTTGCATTTTGATGCTTTTGGAAATCAGGTTTCATAAAGTTCACCAGAACTAAGGGTTATTAAAAAGCTTTTGCGGGGGCCTCTTTTGTCTGGAAGGTGAAGGATGCATTGAGGCTGGGCCTGAATTCCTTCTCTGGGTCTCTGCTGAAGCCTTGGGCTCAGGGTGCATAACAGGTTGCTGGATGGGAGAAGTTACTGATAGTTTTATTAAAGCATCTGCATGTTTAGAAGATCATGATGAAGCTACATAGCCTACCAAGATCTAATGTTTCTGTGGGTTTTTTTTCTTTTCCTGAAACGCAAATGAGACCATTAAGAATTTAAGGCAGGGAGATGGCGTGAACGTGTACGTTTAATATGCTAGAGCAGGGGTGGCAAGCCTTTGAAAGCTTTCGGTGGTACAAACAGCCCACTGCAGCACGTGTGCCATGGGTTTGCCACCACTGTGCTAAAGCAACCAAGAAAGTACTAAGGGGCCCGGGAGGACGTTGTCGCTGTCCAGGAAGACAAGATGGTATGTGGACTACAGCCATGGTGTAGAGTTGGGTAGAGTATTATGGATTCGAGTTACATTTTAGAGACAGAATTGACAAAATTAGTAATTTGATATGTATGTAGGGGCAGGGAGTGGGGATGAAGAAAGCTAAGAAGTAACGAAAATGTAGAAATGGCCATTCACAGAGGGGAATATGAGACAAGACAGGAGAGCATGTGTTTTGGTTATGAATATGGTGAGTTG